TGGGGACATCTGGGTCCGACATGGCAGGAGGGCCTTGCGGGAACTGGGGGTGCCTGGCTGGTGAAGGGGGCACAGGGCAGGGGAGGTGGCAGTAGATGGGGGCAGGGGCAGGTTTTTCCTGCCGCTGGCACTGCCCAACTCCAGAGCTGAGTTTGCAAACTGGAAAAAGAGAGAGAGAGGGAGAGAGAGAAAGTGTGTGTGTGTGTGTGTGTGTGTGTGTGTGTGTGAGAAAGCAGTGGGCAGGCCACCTCCGGGGCTTCCTCTCTGGGGAGCAGGATGGGGGAGGAAGGGGAAACCACCAGAGACCCAGAGACCCGGAGATTCCAGCAGTCCCACAGAGTAGGAAGGGGCGGCCCAGACCCAAAGTTGGGCATTTCTTGTCTGGGATTCAGACTCACAGGACCCAGTCGCCCGACGGCAGCGGGACTCCAGGGCCTTGGTTGAGCAGGGGTGAGCAGCTCCTCAGCCTGGCCCCGCCGCCGCGAGGCCTCTGCTGGGTGTCCAGCGCCCCCCCCCTCGCACCCCAGCTCCCCCATCCCTGGGGCAGTCCCTGCCCCGCTGCCCCGGCGCCCCGCCCAGCCCAGAGCCCTACCTCTCGGCCTCGGCCACCGAGTTGGGGCCGGGAGTCCCGGCCGCCGAAGATGTCGGGCTGTCCTTCCCCTGGGGCCTCCTGGCCCCAGCAGCGGGGGGGGTGGGGGGGAGGGCGCAGGCGGCGATCAGAGGCTGTCCAGTTCTCTTCGGGGGCCGCACTTCGCCCCGCAAGGCATCTCAGTAAAAAGTTTGCTCTCCGGAAAAGGAACCCCCGCCTCCTTGGTGGAGCCCAGGCGCGGCCTCTCAAAGCCCCAAGGGTCTCCGGACTGGTGCGGGAAGAGGCGGCTCCGCGCCCCCCGCCCCGAGCCTCCAGGTGGAGCCGCCTGGGTGGTTGGGGCGAGTGGGTCTCCCAGATCTCCTCCGCGTGGCCGGGCTGCGTCTCTCTCCGCTCCCCAGCTCCTCTCGCTTCGGTCTCTGCCTTTCTCTTTCTGGGCTGTTGACAACCCCCACACCAGGAAGTCCTGCCTCCTCCGGCCTGCTGACTGCTCCTCTCCTCCTCCTTCCCCTCTTCCTCCCCTTCGTCCGCCCTCTCTGCCTCCTGGGGCTCCCGGCCAGCTGGCCGGGGGCCAGACCTGCCACCACCGCTGTTGGTGCAGTTGCTGCCGCCGCCGCCGCTACTGCTGCGACTCCCCGGGGCCCCCGAACGGGCTTAACCCCACACCTGCTGGGCCCCAGTCCCGCGCTTCCTCGGAGGGAGGGGCCGTGGAGGGCGGAGTGAAAGGGGAGGAGTTTGCAGGGAGGCCAGGGATTCCCTTACTTGTAGGCGCTCGCTGCCATTGGCCTACCGAGCCTGCGAAGAGTGGGAAGCGGCTTACCAACCCCGGGCTGTAGTGGGAGCCCGCCACCCCGTAAGCACCGCGTACCCGTAAGGGTGCTGCTTCGCTGTTATTGGCGTCTCTTCACTGGTTTTCACAGTAACTCTATGAGGAAGGTGCTGTTACTCTGTCCTCTGTCCTTATTTAAAAAAAAAAAAAAGGATTTTTTTTAAAAGGGGGATTATGGTGACAATTTGCAAACAGGCCCCCAAGTAGAGAGAGAATACGGTGGACTCCCAGGTCCCCATCGTGCAGTTTCAACAATGAAAAACTCAAAACCAGCCTTGGTTCATCTCGACTTCCAGTACCTTTTGTAGTGTTGTGCTGGAGTATCGGAACCACATCCCAGGCACCGTATTATCCCCCTGCTTAGACATGGATACAGAGACCCGGAAGGTTCAGAAAGACTGTCAGTGGTACAGCTGGAACATTCTACACACTCAGGTGCGCCCTTGTCTGGCCCCCACATAGAGAAACAAAGAGATCTGCCCAGAAATGTGCTGACTTGCACTTTCTCTCCAACCCTGGTCACATACACATTTATACATCATGTACACATACTCCCCCACACAGATGCAGGGGAAGACAAACCCGGCTGGCCCAAAGCACCCCGCCTCTCCCATCCCATCCCTCCTTTGCTATTGGAGGATCTGCACACACGCATGAAGGGCCTACTGTGTGCTTGGCATGAAAAAATAAACCTCCAACGGCCATTTTCTCTTTTTTGGCACCCTCAGCCGACAATCTGAGCGAAAACAGGGTCTAAAGGCCACATCTGGGGGCGCCTGGGTGGCTCAGATGGCTAAGCGTCTGCCTTCAGCTCAGGTCCAGATCCCAGGGTCCTGGGATCGAGCCCCATGTTGGGCTCCTGGCTCAGCGGGGAGCCTGCTTCTCCCTCTCCCTCTGCCTCTTCCCCTGCTCATGCTCTCTCTCTCTCTGTATCTCTGTGTCTCAAATGAATAAATAAAATCTTAAAAAAAAATAAATAGGAGGCGCCTGGGTGGCTCAGTTGGTTAAGCGGCTGCCTTCAGCTCAGGTCATGATCCCAGGGTCCTGGGATCAAGCCCCGCATCAGGCTTCCTGCTTCTCCCTCTCCTCCATGCTCAGTGTTCTCACTCGCTATCTCTGTCTCTCGCTCTCAAATAAATAAAAAAAAATCTAAAAAAATAAATAAATAAATAAAAATAAATAAAGGCCACATCTGCCCTCACTCCTAGCTTCAGAAGGAAATGGATTCTAATTAATTTTGGTCATATGGAACTATTCTTGAGCACATCGAAAATTCCTCATATTCGGGGCGCCTGGGTGGCTCAGTCGTTAAGCATCTGCCTTCAGCTCAGGTCATGATCCCAGGGTCCTGGGATCCAGCCCCGCATCAGGTTCCCTGCTCGGCGGGAAGCCTGCTTCTCCCTCTCCCACTCCCCCTGCTTGTGTTCCCTCTCTCGCTGTGTCTCTCTCTGTCAAATAAATAAATAAAATCTTTAGGGCGCCTGGGTGGCTCAGTCGTTAAGCGTCTGCCTTCGGCTCAGGTCACGATCCCAGGGTCCTGGGATCGAGCCCCGCATCAGGCTCCCTGCTCAGCGGGAAGCCTGCTTCTCCCTCTCCCACTCCCCCTGCTTGTGTTCCTGCTCTCACTGTCTCTCTCTCTCTGTCAAATAAATAAATAAAATCTTTAAAAAATAAATAAACAAATAAATAAAATCTTTAAAAAAAAATTCCTCATATTCGTCTGCTTTATGTAGTTATCGCACAGATTCTCAAAATAGCCCAGGGCAAGGGTGGGGTAGGTTTTAAACTCCAGTGTTTCTGCTGAGGAAACAAAGGCTCACAGGCATTTGGTTATTTGCCCGAGGCCTCAGAGCTAGTAGTTGATGGCATTGAGACTAGGACTGGGGCTGACACATCCCTCCTTCTTCAGCTTTAGCTCATGGAAATTTTTTCACCACTCTTTAGGGTTAGGGAAAAACAAAATGATGCCTCCTGCCTCCACATTTATATATTTATTCTGAATTTCTTTGTTAAAATGCATCTGCACTCCTCCCTTCATAGTAACAGTGGCTACCACGTCCAGGTCCTAAAGGCCTCCCAAGTCCTGAGGTCCAGGAAGCAGCCTCCCACACAACCCCCACCCTCCAACTCTATCCCCTCTGGCAATATTCAGAACACTGCCCTGCTGCTCCACCCCCAGATCCTCCCTCCTTCAGCGCTGACTCGCTACAAACTATTCAAAATTTATCTTTGGACCCTTCCCTTCCCACCAACTCAGACACTCAGCACCAGCTGGGGACTCCTCCGTGTCTGCAGGCCCTGGGACACTGCTGGTCTCTGCAGAAATGTTTATTGAGTGAATAAATAAAAATTCATTCACACTAAGGTGTAAATGTGAAAGGATTGTTTTGTACTTTAATGTGTTCCCTCTCCGGGGGGCAACAATAGCCCTTTTAAGTATTTTACAGCTTACAAAGCTCCTTGTATTAATTCCTTTGCTGCCCCCAACAACTTTACGGAGGTAGGTGTGAGATGAGGCGTCTCTCAGAGAGGTGGTGTGATTTGCCCAAAGCCACACAGCGCATCTGTAGAGATTTGCCTCCTAAAGTAAAAGTGCACAGGTTCCGGGGATTAGGGATGGGTATCTTTTGGAGGTCCGTTTTTCAGCCACTTAAGGGTAGAACCCAGATCTTGCAGCTAATGTTGGGCACAGGGATTTCCGAGGGAGGATTTCTCGGAGCTGATGAGAAAGGTGATGGGACATCGAGGAGGGGGGCGCGAAGTCGCGACCCTGAGCGGCTGCCTGGACCGCACCCAGGGCCGTTGCCGCGGTGGTGCCAGTCAGAGGCCAACCTCCGGGGCACCCAGGACCTGGCGGGCGCCGCCGCGGAGTCAGAGGTTACCGGGAGGATGACTTGAGCCGCCGGGGCGGACAGGCGGAAGCCTTTGAGCCCAGGCCGTGAAACGAGGATCCGGGTGCCTTCCCCGCACCTAGGGGGCGGCAGGAAGATGGGGCGCAGCCAAGGGAATACGCCCCCTGCTGGGCAGAGACGCGGATGGTAGAGCTCACGACTCTCCGAGCCCCTCGGCCCGGAAAGCGGCACCCCCTGCCGGTCTCGCCGGCTCACTGCACTCAGGGACCCCGCAGCCGCAGCCTCGCCCCGGCCGGACGCGGGGTGCGCACCCAGGGAGCGCCGGGCGCGCGCGGGGTACGCGCGGGGGTGCAGGTCCCGGGCTGCCACCGGGGGGCGCCGCTACGCGCTGCGCCCCGCTTCGCTCCGCCGGGGCCTCGGACACCGAACCGAACACCGCCCGGCCGGGCAGAGGCCGAGGGGCGACGAGGAGCTGACGCCTCAAAGAGGGGGCGGGCCGGCGGCAGGTCCCCTGCACCCCGCGGCCTTTCTCCGAGTGCCCCCGCGAGCTCCGCGGGCTCTGCGTCCCCCGCGCCTCCCACCCGAGCCCGGCGGCGCAGCGCAGCCGGGCCGCTCCCACTCCGTCCTTGGAGGGTGTGGAAGGGTGGGTTTGGGGCCGGGGGCGGGTCTGGGGGCGGACCCGGAGGCGGGGCTGTCTCTGCGGCAGGGCCCAGCTCGGCTCCCCCCCGGTCTCTCTCTGTCTCTCCTCCTCCCTCCTCCTGCTCCGGGCGGAGCCCGGCATGGGGGGGCCGGCGCCCGGCAGGCCAGGTACGGTGATGTGGAAATTGGGGAGCCTTGGTGCGGGGAGGTGTGGGGGGCAGGGAGTAGTGAGGATTAGCGGGGCGAGAGGGACGGAGAAACCCAGGGTAGCAGGACAAGGGGAAGGGGAGGGGTGCCCGGGAACCTGGGGCCCTTGGATGGAGAGGGGAATGAAGCCGCCAGGTTTGGAACAAACAGGGAAGGAAGAGGACGGCGGGGAGGAGGGGCGCCCAGGAGGAGAGGTGAGGCCGACGGCGAAAAGGAGAGTGTGTTTGGGGGGAGGGAAACCAGAGCAGGTCTGGAGGCCGAAGCTCAGAAGGTAGCTATGGGGCCAGACCGGAGACCCCTGGGTGGGATTGAGGGCAGGGACTGGAAGAGGGCAGCCGGGAGCCTCTCAGATCCTGGAGGAGGAGGAAGGGGATCTGGGCCATCGTCGAGGGAGGTGGAGCCGGTCACTGAGGGGCCAGGGCGCAGGAATAGGGGTGGACCGAGGCCCGGGGCCCAGCACGGGACTGGAAGGGGGAACTGCCCGCAGGCAATGGAAATAGGTGGATGGGTCGTATTGTAGATGCCCAACTCCGAGCGCCCCCACCCCTTCGCCAGCATCCCCACCCTGCCCTCATGACACCCCCAGCCTCAGGGCCCAAGAGGGGGTGGGGATTCTGACCATCTCCCCCTTCCCCAGTGGGGTGCAATGTACGCAAGTAGGCCGTAGCAGAACTCCTTGTCTGTAGGTATGTCCAGTTCCCTGTAGCCGGCTGTGTGTGTCTGGAGGTCTGTGTGTGCTGTGGGTGTGTCGGGGGTGTTTATGTCTGTGTGTCTGTGTGTGTCTGCCTGTTCCTAGGTTGTGTTTACCCATGCTGATCTATGTGTCTGGTCCTCTGTTTGTAGATATGGGTCTGTGGCCTGGTGGTTTGTGTGTCTGAATGTGTGTTTGTGGGGCCTGTCTGTGTGGTAGATCGGGATGTATTTACAGGATGGGAGTCTGTATCAAGCTGATCTCTCCGGGATGTGTATTTGTGGCTCTGAACACCTTTGTCAGGGTGTGTGACTCTGTGTACACATAGCCTTCCGTGTCTGTCTGTCTATGGGTCCTAGAGGTAGTGTTGGGTTTTCTCTGCCTCCATCTGTTTTCCACTCTCTGAGGACCCAAGTCACATCTCTGCTCCTTTCTCTCTCTCTCTCTCATTCATTCCTGGCCCCCACCCACCCCACATCTTTCTTTTTTCCTTCCCATCTCCCCCACCAAGTGGATCCGGGACCCAGGGAGGGCCGCCCCCCGGGCCTGGTGGCGCTGAGCAGGGCCCCCCAGCCCCCACCTCCTGCCCCACGACATGAACCTCCTCTACCGAAAAACCAAGCTGGAGTGGAGGCAGCACAAGGAGGAGGAGGCCAAGAGGAGGTAAGGCTGCATGCAGTCCCAGATTGCCCTCTGGGCTGTCCCACGTCTGCTTCCCCGCTGGCTGAGGCCACATCCCTCTGCCCTTCCTGGGTCCAGCAGCCTGGTCATGAGTCTGATCTTAGAGTCTGTGCTCAGTACAGAATTGCTGGGATTGCATACACCCTGTCCCCACCCTGCTCCTGGCTCGTGGCTCTAGCCCTTGTCCTGGCCTCTTGGGGGGGCTTCCAGCTCAGGAGCACCCTGTTGGCTCTTCCCCACCCCTGGAGGCCCGAGTCACTCCTTCCTGACTCACCTCTGGCCTATAGTCTTCTTTCTGTCAGTGTGGGGTTGGCTCCAGGCTCCAGGTCACCTGACCTTGGAAGGGGCAGGCCCTGTTGCCCTCCTGGTCCAGGGACGGGGTCATTTGCGGGGTACCCGAGAAGATCTGTTTGGCCCCCTCCCCACCACGGCTGCTGGGGGAGGTCAGTGGCCAAGTGACAGGGTTGTGTGTGTGTGTGTGTTTGTGGTGGTGGTGGTGGGAGAGGTGAAGGCTGGGCCCTGCAGAGGGGCCAGGGCTGGGGACCTCCCCCTGCTTGCCCTCTCTCCTTGCCCTCCCCGGGACCTGGACCCTGGCCTCTTCCCCTCTCGCTCCCCTCTCTCTTCACCCCCATTGACAGCACAGCCTCTTGGAGCCTGAGTCAGAGCCGCCTCCCTGCTCCCTTCCTCCTCGAAACTGTGGAGTTTAATTCTTGTTGTTAATTAGATTAATCAGAGCTATGACTGCAGTGATCTCTCCCTAATGAAGGGTTAGTAGACAGGGCCTTAATGAGAGCCCACCCCACAGTGGCTCTCCCCTCTTCCCTACCAGCCGCCCCTCCCTTCACTCACACGGAAGCTCAGGGACAGTGAGAGGGAGTGGGGGTGAGCCTGGGAGGGTGACAGAGAAAGGACAGCACCGAGGGAGAGGGAGAGCGAGGGGAAGGGAGTAAAAGAATCAGCAGGGGGAGGCTGTTCTGCCAATGCGGCTGCACGGGCCTCATCTGGGAGCGGAGGCCGCAGGAGCCGGACACGCTGGGAGGCCAGAGGCCAGAGGCCAGGTGTGGGCCAGCGCGCGCGCGAGGAGCAGAGCCGTGGCGGCGGGTGTATGTGCCAGGCGGGGCTGTGCTGCCTGTCTGCATCTCTACCTGCGCATGAAGCTGTCCACACAAGCGCCGCGTGCCAGATATGCCCGGGCTGGGATCAGACGGCTCCAGGGATGCTCCCCTGCCCACGTACTCATCCGTCGCTCATCCCTACTCGCCGTCCCTCCCCAATTTCCTTGTCTGTTTTAAAGCCTAAGGATTCTGCCTGAAGTTTCTACTTTGGTGCCCTAGACCTTCAGGCAGCCTCCCATCCCCACCCCAGGCCCCTTCCTCCGCCTCCTGGGGGGCCACAGGGTTGCACACCCCCTCTGAGGGTAGAGGAGGGGGAGGCCCAGGCCTGAGGCCCAATCTCTGTTCCATCTTGGCCTTCTCTCCCCAGCTCCAGTAAGGAGGTGGCTCCTGCAGGCCCCGCAGGGCCTGGGGCTGGCCCGGGGCCTGGGGTCCGTGTGCGGGACATCGCCTCGCTGCGCCGCTCCCTCAGGATGGGCTTCATGACAATGCCAGCCTCCCAGGAGCACACCCCCCACCCCTGCCGCAGCGCCATGGCCCCACGCTCACTCTCCTGCCATTCAGTGGGCAGCATGGACAGTGTTGGGGGTGGGCCTGGGGGAGGAGGTGGGGGTCTCACAGAGGACAGCAGTGCCCGAAGACCCCCTGCCAAGCCCCGGAGACATCCCAGCACCAAGCTCAGCATGGCAGGGTCAGGGGCAGAGATGCCCCCCAGCAAGAAAGCAGGTGAGACACCCCCAACCCTCCCCAGGAGCTGGGAGGATCCATTCCAGGCCAAGAAGAGGCCTACAGGGGAGGGTTCATTCAGGGAAGAACCAAGGAAATGGAAGGTTCCATTCTCAGTGGGAGTGGTGGGGGGGTGGTTTCTTTTTGGAAGGGCCTGAGATGAACCATTCAAGGGCAGGGGAAGCTCCCTGAAAAGTCCATTCCTGGGAGAGGGGTGGCCTTGAAGGGACATGAGGGTGGGACAGAACTTACGGCGGGAGCTGCAGATTCTGGGGAGTTCATCAGAAGGACTGAGAGCAGGCTGGTAGAAAAGGAACCCACTGTGCTTTAAGTTGGGGAATGTGGGGAAAATAAAGACACACATGTGCCCTTGCAGATGGGTTAAGAGATCAGAAGGGGTCTGCCCATCTCCTTCCCGCACTAAGAGCCCTGTTTGTTTTTCTCCTTCCCATTCTGCCCAGGCTCACAGAAGCCAACCCCAGAGGGCCGAGAGTCCAGCCGGAAGGTTCCTCCACAGAAGCCCAGGAGAAGCCCAAACACCCAGCTCTCTGTCTCCTTCGATGAGTCCTGTCCCCCAGCCCCCTCTCCTCGAGGGGGGAATCTGCCCCTTCAGCGCCTCAGTAGGGGGTCCTGCGTAGCTGGGGACCCTGAGGTGGGTGCCCAGGAAGAGGAGCCCGTGTACATTGAGATGGTGGGGGATGTCTTCAGGGGAGGAGGGCGAAGTGGAGGGGGCCTGACTGGGCCCCCTCTTGGGGGTAGGGGCCCAACCCCTCCAGCTGGCGCCGACTCGGACTCAGAAGAGAGCGAGGCTATATATGAGGAGATGAAGTACCCGCTGCCAGAGGAGGCAGGGGAAGGCCGGGCCAACGGGGCCCCTCCATTGACCGCAAGCTCCTCGCCACACCAGCCTCCTGCCCTGCAGCCCCACACCCACCGTCGGCCAGCTTCAGCCCTCCCAAGCCGGAGGGATGGGACACCTACCAAGACCACTCCTTGTGAAATCCCCCCGCCCTTCCCCAACCTCCTCCAGCACCGCCCTCCGCTCCTGGCCTTCCCCCAAGCCAAGGCTGCTTCCCGAACCCCTGGCGATGGGGTCTCGAGGCTACCGGTCCTCTGCCACTCGAAGGAGCCAGCGGGCTCCACCCCAGCTCCCCAAGTGCCTGCCCGGGAGCGGGAGACGCCTCCCCCACCGCCTCCGCCTCCTGCTGCCAACCTGCTGCTGCTGGGACCCTCGGGCCGGGCCCGGAGCCACTCAACACCATTGCCACCCCAGGGCTCTGGCCAGCCCCGGGGGGAGCGGGAGCTCCCCAACTCCCACAGCATGATCTGCCCCAAGGCGGCAGGGGCGCCGGCAGCCCCTCCTGCCCCGGCCGCCTTGCTCCCTGGCCCCCCCAAGGACAAGGCTGTGTCTTACACCATGGTGTACTCGGCAGTCAAGGTGACCACGCATTCCGTCCTGCCAGCTGGTCCACCCCTAGGTGTTGGGGAGCCAAAGACGGAGAAGGAGATCTCAGTCCTCCACGGGATGCTGTGCACCAGCTCGAGGCCCCCAGTGCCTGGGAAGTCCAGCCCCCACAGCGGGACCATGGGCGCAGCAGCTGGGGTCCTCCACCATCGTGGCTGCCTGGCCTCCCCACACAGCCTTCCGGACCCAACCACAGGCCCCCTGACTCCCCTCTGGACCTACCCAGCTGCAGCAGCTGGGCTCAAGAGACCTCCTGCCTATGAGAGCCTCAAGGCTGGGGGGGTGCTGAATAAGGGCTGTGGAATGGGGGCCCCATCCCCCATGGTCAAGATCCAGCTGCAGGAGCAGGGGACCGACGGGGGTGCCTTTGCTAGCATCTCCTGCGCCCATGTCATCGCCAGTGCAGGGACACCGGAGGAGGAAGAAGAGGAGATGGGTGCCACGACATTTGGGGCAGGCTGGGCTCTGCAGAGGAAGGTCCTGTATGGAGGGAGGAAGGCAAAAGAGCTGGACAGTGAGTGAGGGGTGGGAATTTGGGGGTGGGGGACTGGGGATGCCTGGGATGATTTCGGGGAAGTGTTGGAGGGATTATTTGGAAGGCACAACCCATTGTCCTGAAGTGGGAAGTTTTCAAGGAGACTGGAGGATAAGGGCATGCAGCAGGCTGACGGGCTGGGGTCCCCATGTGGATGCTGGATGGGCAGGAAGGTCTGCGATGGGGAGGGGCTAGAATCTGGCCCCAAGGGTCGCCTCCTCCTGCCCCGTCCCACTCTACTCTCTGCCCTTCCCTTTGCTAGGCTGCAGGGGTGTGTGTTTGTGAGTGTGCGCACACTAGGAGCTAAACACAGCTGCCTCCCAGCTGTTGCCATGGCAACCCATCCAGACAGGAGGGAGAGGAGAGGGAGGCCCCTACCGTTGCCTGGCAACGAAATGCTCTGCCAGGCCTCCTCTCTGAGCTGAGCTTAGTTCACTTGCAGCCCTTCCCCCAACACCCCCCCTTTCCACTTCCTGGCCCAGGATTTGGGATCTCCCCCTCCTGGGGGAACAGTGCTCCTGGTCTATGTTTCAGAGGAGGGTCATTGTGGCCCTATCGGGCCAGAGGGGCTCTGGAGCTAAAGCTGGGGTAGGGGAGACCCCTATGACCACAGAAAAGGGTTTGGCAGCAGCAAATATTTGTGTCTCAGGCCAGAGATGATACCAACGGGTGGAAAGGAAAGTGGCAGTATTGGGGTCCCTCCTGTGTGTTTGTGTTTGGGGACTGTGAAATAGGGTCCCTCCCTTCTCTGCTGTGACTTGCAAAAGGGCAGTCACTTCTGGTCCATGCATGCCGCGCTGTGTGTAGCTGGGGGGAACAGCAAGACCCTTCCCATGTGCAGGCACTAAGTTCTCCTTGTCATCCCAGCAGAGGTCGAGGATGGTGCCCGGGCCTGGAATGGCAGTGCCGAGGGTCCAGGCAAGGTGGAGCGTGAGGACAGGGGCCCTATGGCATCAGGGATCCCAGTGAGGAGTCAGGGGGCAGAGGGCCTGCTGGCCAGGATCCACCACGGAGGGGACCGAGGAGGGAGTCGCACAGCGCTGCCTGTACCCTGCCAGACGTTTCCTGCCTGCCACCGCAATGGAGGTGACATCCCGCCCATGCCCGGACAAAGATGGGGCTGGAAGGGGGGCAGATCTCTCAGGGTCCACGTCCTGGGCCCTCCTTTTTAACACCACATCGCCATCCCCTTGCCTCCCCTGCTGAGTCAAGGGCAGTCTGGAAGGGGCTGCCGTCTGGGAACTGCAGAAGGGGAACCTGGAGGCCCCTACCCTCCTCACTTAACCTTTTCTCCACCTCAGACTTCACGGGAGGCTACCGCCTGGGGCGCTCGGCCTCCACCTCTGGAGTCCGGCAGGCCGCGCTCCATACCCCCCGGCCCTGCAGCCAGCCTAGGGATGCCCCAAGCCAGGTGAGGAGGAAGTCGAAGTTGGGTGTCCTTTTATTTGTGAAGGAGCAGGTGGGGAAGAAGGCCTGGGTGTGGGAAGAAAAGTAGGAGGTCAAGCTGGGGCCTGGCATGGTCGAATAGGGACCCGGGGTGGGGGGGAGGGTGGGCGTTGATCCTGGGAAAGGGCTGTATTTGGTGGGGACAGCCAGCCAGGCAGCGCCACCTCTAGCTTACCGTGTGCCTTTGTGCGTTTAGAAAATGGGGGGTACCAATTTGAAAAGTGCGTTCTACTGGGAAGACAATGATTTAAAGGTGTCCATTCCTCAGGGTGAGATGGGCCCAGCCTGGCACCAGGGCTCCCTGCCAGGAAGAGGGTGCAAGAGCTGGGTTTCTGTTGCTGTCCCACCCACCCACACACACACACCCAGCCAGGGGGAGAGGACAGAGGCCTAGGGGGCAAGAGAGGACTTGTTTCTGGGGGAAGACATTGGTCTTTGCAGTGGGGGACAGGGCCTGGTCACTCTGAGGTCCTTGACCCGCCCCCCTTATTCCTTTCTCCCCTCGTCGCGGGCCGGCAGCGGGAGGAAGGGGCACAGACCCACCCCGCCCTGCCGCTGCCCCTACCGCCTCAGCCCTCCCGGGAGCGCGATGGCAAGCTGCTGGAGGTGATAGAGCGCAAGCGCTGCGTGTGCAAGGAGATCAAGGCCCGCCACCGCCCAGACCGAGGCCTCTGCAAGCAGGAGAGCATGCCCATCCTCCCCAGCTGGCGGCGGGGGCCCGAGCCCCGCAAGTCCGGCACCCCGCCCTGCCGCCGGCAGCACACTGTCCTCTGGGACACTGCCATCTGAGGAGGCCGGGAGGCCGGGGCACCGGACTGGGGAGCGGGGCGGGGGTGCCCGGCTCTCCGGGAGACTTGCCTTGAAAGAGGGACACTTGAAGGACCAGGTGAGAGAAAGCCAGGGAGAACCCCCTGCCTTCCACCCTAACCCCCGGACACAGGGAGTCTGCCAGGCCCATCGGGCATGGGGCGCCAGCCGCACCCCCTGAAATTTGGGGGAGGAGGGTTGAGGTTCGGAGTGAGGCCCTCCGCTGCTCTTCCTCCTGGGCGAGGTAGACTCCTCCTCCTGAGAGGGCAAAGGCCGAGCCAGAGGTCAGCATGGGGGAGGAGGGAAGGGTAGGGAGGACGACGGGGGGCGGGTTAGGTGAAGGACAAGGCTAGAGAGTGTGAGGTAGAGGGGCTCTTTAATAGAGCCGGGAGTGGGGAGGGGGTATTTATTTCGTTATTTATTTTAGTTGGGAGGGCAATTCTGGGCTCTTCTGACCTACTTCTGGGCAGGGAGTAGGCAGTGGTGGGCAGTTAAAGGGAACCAAGTTTGTGCTCTCCCCAAAGCCTGAAGGCCCCACCATCTATGCCCACCCTGACGCTGGGCATTGGTCTGGACTGGGGAGCCAAGCAAGAGAAGGGAGGGACTCCGGTGAGCTGAGGGCCGCAGCCTCATTTACAGTATTTACGAATGACCAGAATTTGGTAGTGAGTGTGGCCTGCTGTGAAACAGGCATCTTTATTTAGCTCTGGGGTGAGGGTCTAGCACCAGGGATGGGTGGGATGATGGGGAAGGAGGGAAATTTTAGCGGGTGGGGGGAGGGCGGGGTATTTATTTAAATTTTAAAAAAAAATCAGAAGAGATGTCAGGAACTTTTTTTTAATTCCTTTCTTTTCAGAATAATATATTAAAAGACTAACGATCCTAGAACTGGCTTCTTATATTTCAGTGTGCTCTGCTTTTCTTACACCTGTTTCTTTTCCCTCTTGCCCATGGTTGGTGGGAGTTGGAGGTGGTGCAGGGAGGGGTGAATGGCTGTGGCAAGTAACAGGGAGAGGTGGAGTTTGAGGTAAGTCTCGGAATGCCACCATGCCCTGACTCAGCAAGCATTTACTGAGCCAGCCTCTGTGTGCTTGGCAAAACACCCATGCAGAGGGAGCATTCAGACCAAAGCCTGCCCTCAGGCAGTGTATAGTCTACTCAGGGTGGTGAGACACCTGGGACAACACTAGATGTTGCTACAGCAGTAAAGGGGGTGCAGGTGGGGACGGAATCATCTAAGAAGACTTTCTAGAAAGTGAGCCTAAAAGGACAGGTAAGGTTTGGATGAGCAGGGGGAGGAGGGAAAGTCCCAAGGTCACACACACCGTATGATTGTCCGCAGAACAGAAGATGGGGATGGGGCAGGAAATGTCTTTAAATAACGCAAAGGGCAATGAGGCAACCACAATGAAGCTGATTCAGAGAGATAGGCATCAAAGCAAGATTCTGATCCTTAGGAAGCAGTCAGGGAGGAGGATAAAAAGTGTCTGGGAGAATGGAGGGCAAGGGACAGTTTGCAAGATGCAGCTGAAAGAACATCCTCAGGTGGGGAATGAAGGAGTTGACTGGGGCATCCTCGAGGCCCAACTTTGGAACTCCTGTGATTGGGGAAATGATTACTTTGACAGAGCAAAGCAAGGGGGTGAGAGGGATTTTGAGGGAAGAACTTTGAATGGGAAGCAGTGTTAGTTAATATCCAGGTTGAAAGGTTTGTTGCCAGCTAGAACAGACTTTCAAAAAGTGTGGTGGATGATACAAGAGATGTTTTTAAGCAATCTGAAGAAGAACATTTTTTTGCCTTTTTTTTTTTTTTTAAAGATTTTATTTTTATGAGCGCCTGGGTGGCTCAGTCGTTAAACATCTGCCTTCGGCTCAGGTCATGATCCCAGGGTCCTGGGATCGAGTCCCACATCGGGCTCCCTGCTCGGCAGGAAGCCTGCTTCTCCCTCTCCCACTCCCCCTGCTTGTGTTCCTGCTCTCACTATCTCTCTCTCTGTCAAATAAATAAATAAAACCTTAAAAAAAAAAGATTTTATTTTTAAATAATCTCTACACCCAACATGGGGCTCAAACTCACAACCTGGAGATCAAGAGTCGCATGCTCTACCGACTGAGCCAGCCAGGTGCCCCAAGAAGAATTTTTTGTTTTTTAAAGATTTTATTTATTTATTTGAGAGAGAGAGAGAGAGAGCACATGAGAGGGGGGAGGGTCAGAGGGAGAAGCAGACTCACCGCTGAGCAGGGAGCCCGATGCGGGACTCGATCCCGAGACTCCAGGATCATGACCTGAGCCAAAGGCAGTCGCTCAACCAACTGAGCCACCCAGGCGCCCAAGAATTTTTTTTTTTAAACTTTAGTAGTTTTCTATTTATTTCCATTCCTATTAGAGAAATTATAACCAGCACATCAAAGTACTTGTTAATTTCATGGATATTATTGCACAAGATAAAGCTAAATTTATTTTTAATGAGTTGTTTTAAAGAAAAATGTTAAATAATGGTACAGGTGTGATATACAGAATATGGAAAATTATGACAGCAATATGAGAATTTTTGGAATTTAGGAAACACCAAGTTGGAGAGGAAATGAGAGTTTGGGAAAGATGAGAAGACTGTAGACATTAGGAATCATCAACATAGAAATAATACTCAGGGCCTAGACTGAGTTGGATAAGGGAGAATTGGATAAAGATATGAGTTAAGAACAAAATATGAACAAGAAATAGCTTTCTACATTTTTTTTAAAGATTTTATTTATTGGGCGCCTGGGTGGCTCAGTTGATTAGGCGACTGCCCTCAGCTCAGGTCATGATCCTGGAGTCCCGGGATCGAGTCCCACATCGGGCTTCCTGCTCGGTGGGGAGTCTGCTTCTCCTTTATTTCGTTATTTATTTTAGTTGGGAGGGCAATTCTCATTCTCTCTCTCTCTCAAATAAATAAATAAAATCTTTAAAGATTTTATTTATTTGACAGAGAGAGAAGACAGAGAGGGAACACAAGCAGGGGGAGTGGGAGAGGGAGAAGCAGGCTTCCCGCGGAGCAGGGAGCCCGATGAGGGGCTCGATCCCAGCACCCTGGGATCATGACCTGAGCCGAAGGCAGATGCTTAATGACTGAGCCACCCAGGCGCCCCAGCTTTCTATATTTTTATTTATTTTTTAAATTGAGATATATCAACATACAACATTATATTAGTTTCAGGTGTCCAATATATAATGATTTGATGTATGTATATATTGTGAAATGATCATCACAATAAGTGTAGTTAACATCCATCCCCACACATAGTTACAATTTCTTTCCTTGTGATGAGAACTTTAAGGATCGACCCTCTTAGCCACTTTCAAATGTTATTGTTAACTATAGTCACTATGGTGTACATTACTACTCTAGGACTTATTTATCTTATAACTGGAAGTTTGTACCTTTTATCCACCTTCACCAATTTTGCCCACACCCCAACCCCATCTCTGAGAACCACCAATCTGTTCCCTATGTCTGTGAGTTTTTTGTTGTTGTTTTAGATTCCACATCTAAGTGAGATCATAGAGTATTTGCCTTTCTGTCTATTTCACTTAGCATAATGCCTCAATGTTGTCACAAATAGCACAATTTCTGATACCTTTTTAATAATCAGTTAGAAAATTAATGGAAGTAAATATCCTACTTAGCAACAAGAATCATAAAATATCTCAGAGTAACTTTATTTTTTTTTAAAGATTTTATTTATTTATCTGACAGAGAGACAGGGAGAGAGGGAACACAAGCAGGGGGAGTGGGAGAGGGAAAAGCAGGCTTCCCACCGAGCAGAGAGCCCAATGCGGGGCTCGATCCCAGGACATTGGGATCATGATCTGAGCTGAAGGCAGATGCTTAACAACTGAGCCACCCAGGAGCCCCTCAGAATAACTTTAATAAGAAACGTGCAGGACTTATATTCGATCAATCAATAAAACTAAAGTCTTTGAGTTACTTAAACCAGGAATATTTGCATAAGCAGAGTAATAACTTGTTCTTAGAAAAGAAGGCCATAATATAAAAGATGTCAGTTTTCCCTGAATCCATAAATCTGATGCAGTCTCTAAATTCCAAAAGGATGAGTTGGGAAACTTGACAAAATAATGCAAAAGTTCATCCAGAATGATAATGAGAAAAACCAGAACATTCTGAAACAGATGAGTAATGGGGGGACCTGGCCTACCAATATTAAAAGTTGAAACAAAAGCACAGTGTACTGGATTGGCATAGGACTGGCACATCCATCAGAATAGAGTCCAGAAATCGTTCCAAATGCACATGGGAATTTGGCATGTATATGATAAATGTAGTATTTTAAGGGTGGGGAAAAAGATTATTCAATGGTTGTTCCTTGAGCAACTAGCTACTCAAGGGAGAGTGTGGGAAGCTGGATTTCTATTTCATTCATTATGCCAAAAGATTTAAATGTAGAAACAAAACATTAAAATCGAAAAATGGGTGAACATTCTTATAACCTTGGGATGGAGAAGGCCTTTCAAAACTGACATGAAAACGAGAAACAGACTGAAACACTTTTTGATCATGTTCTCAACTAAAACTTCTATACAGCAAACTCAAACTATGAACATTAAAGTAGGAAAATATTGGGTGCCTGGGTGGCTCAGTTGGTTAAGCGACTGCCTTCGGCTCGGGTCATGATCCTGGAGTCCCGGGATCGAGTCCCGCATCGGGCTCCCTGCTCAGCGGGGAGTCTGCTTCTCTCTCTGGCCCTCTTCCCTCTCGTGCTCTCTATCTCTCATTCTCTCTCTCTCAAATAAATAAATAAAATCTTTAAAAAAAAATAAACTAGGAAAATATATTTTTTTAAGATTTTATTTTTAAGTAACCTCTACCGCAAGGTGGGGCTTGAACTCATGACCCCGAGATCAAGAATCACACGCTCCTCTGACTGAGCCAGCTAGGCGCCCTATGGGAAAAGATTTCGAACATAAGAAAAAGATTGATATGGTATATCAGAAAGATTCGTGAGTTGATAAGAAAAGGAAAAAACAACCCAAATGAAGGACATGAGCAGATAATTCACCAAAGAAACAGAAATTACCAACAAACATGTTCAACCATAACCACAAGTGACGTGAAATAAAGCAATAATAAATTCTTTTTATCTGTCTGACAAAACTGAAAAAAATTCATAGCATCAATCTGGCAAGTAAGTGTGGAAAACAGGTACTCATTGCATAAAAAAAAGTAAATACACCTTTTCTGGAGGTCAGTTTAATAATATTTGTTAAAAATTTAAATGTACATGGTTTTGACCCAAATTTCATTTCCAGGAACTTATCCTACGGAAATGGTTACACAAATATACAAAGCTAGATGCACAAATGTGCTAATTGCAGTGCTGTTTGAAATGATGAAAAATTGGAAACCACCCCAATTTCATTAGTATAGCACTAATTTATAGTAACAATGGAACACTGAAGCTGTTAAATTGAACACAGAAGATACCGATGTTCTAAACACAAAAAAGATCACAATAACTTGATAAGTGAATAAAGCAATGTGCGGAAAAGCACATTTTTAGAAAAAATTTATTCGTAAAAAGCACATTTTTAGAAAAATCATTTATTTATAGGGGCGCCTAGGTGGCTCAGTCGTTAAGCGTCTGCCTTCAGCTCAGGTCATGATCCCGGGGTCCTGGGATGGAGTCCCCCATCGGGCTCCCTGCTCCGCAGGAGGCCTGCTTCTCCCTCTCCCACTCCCCCTGCTTGTGTTCCCTCTCTCGCTGTGTCTCTCTCTGTCAAATAAATAAATAAAATCTTTAAAAAAAATCATTTATTCATAAATTTTTATGTAGGTCTGAAAGAAAATAAACTAAATATTTGATGGTGATTATTTGAGGTCTGA